ATAAAAAAAAGTGTTTGTCAAACAACACCCCCCCCGGGGGGGGGGGGGGGGGGGGGGGGGGGGGTGTAAGGCACTGATGGACAGACTGCAGGGAAAACAAGGAGACATTGTTGCTGATTCTCTGAAGGTCACAGGCAGCAGTGTGTGCCAAGTCTGGCACGGACTCGACACAACGAGGCATCCGTCCATATGCGACGTACAGTATAGGAGACGTGACGGTGGACGGGCTGCGGACCATTAGTTTAGAACCTCCAATTAGAATCATTACAGGAGGAAGACAAACATGCCTCTTCATTCCATCCCTAAAGATGGACCCCGTGCTTTAGTCATGATGAATGGTACAGTCCCGCTCATTTTTCCAGAGACACGTCACACAATAAGCCTTTCATCAGTTGACCCCCTCATCCTCCCTGACTCCCCCCTGTCTCCCTGTCTCTTTCACTCGCTCCCTTCCTCTCCTCCAGATGTCAGGTAGAGTGGGAGACTCTGTGCTGCTGGATGCTGTCTGACACTTTTCAAAACAATGGTAACAAGCTGCAGACTCGTCCTTCAGCCAAACACACACACACACACTGATGCATACACACACACACAGAGGATTTTTTCACATGCTGAATATTGTATGATAATACAGAGGTGCATCTATAACTGCACTTCAGCTCATTCAAACGGTAGTTGTCCTGCACAGGCAAGTAGACCAGTGGAGGCTGGGATCAAACCCTCGACCTTTCTGCTAAGTGGCTACCCACATTACCTACTCCTCAGAGTTGGATCAATTGTATATTTTTACAGACTAAATGGCTGGAAACCCAAGAAAAAAAAATTGTGCTCAAATTTCTATTCATGTCAATGTTGACAAATATAAATACATTATATACATTTCTGTCTTTTTATGGACCTACGAGATATAATTAAATATCATGTCTGTGATGCTGATTAGTATTAATTGTTGTACATTTTCCATTTAGTCAAAAGGCTTTTACAAAAAGCAAGTTAATTTTACATTTACTCTGTAGAATCTCCCGGTGATGCTCCATTTTACAAATACAATGATTTTTTTTGTTTGGCAATAACTACAGCGTTTTTTGAATTTGATATATTATTGACGTTTTCTCTAGATTCATGCCTTTGTTTTTTTCATACTATACATAAATATATATAGCATCACTAACGTGGGCTATGGTCTTGTGTGACTGTGTGACCGTTCGTGTGTGTGTCTTCTCTTACTTCTCGTAGTCGTGTTTGCAGTACAGCAGTCTGTCCCTGCAGTAACAGGTTCCGGTGAGCGAACTCAAACACACCGCGCACTTGACGCAGGTCTCGTGCCAGGAGCGCTCATTGATGCGCAGCAGGAAACGGTCAGCGATGGGAGACTCACAGCCCGCACACACCTCTCCTCTGCGCTGGTACTCTGGACCTGGGAGTCCGGAGGAGAGAGTCGGGAGAAAGGTTCCAAAATTCAGTCCAGTTTTTCAATCAAATAATAATTCAATGTAATATTATCTTTTCAAATCATTTGTTGTTAGTCGCACTGATGGAGCCGCTGTCCCCAGTGCCATGCGCCCATAGGCCTGGATTATTATTTGACGACGTCTGGTCGAGTCACTGACGGAGAATCTACATTACACTGATTCAACACTTTTAATTTAACCTTTTAATTATTATTTTACAAGTGATAAACACTTAGAAACACATAGAAAATCCTTTCGTGTTTAATTCTTTTTTCCTCCTCCATGAATCTATTCTAATTGTTTTTGTCTAACGTGGCAGCAAACCCCTCTGGTTTCTCCTTCTTATAGGTTAATGGTATTTAATGGTTCAATTTCAAGTCCAAATATAAGCAGAATAATGATCAGGGTGTTTTCAACGTGTGGTGTTATCGTGTTCGGCCTGGGCCTTGAGCCACAGTTAGAGACTCACCAAAGGGCGTTGAGGATGGAGGCTGCTGCAGACAGGACTGTTGACTCTCCTCTGTTTTCATCCCTTCACTCCTCCCCTCAGTGTGATCGCTGTGCACAAAGACAGAAAAAACAAACAAAAATAATCATATAAAATGAGCCAAAACAAAGTTGATTTTTTAAAAGCATAAGCAATAAAACTCATTCTGGAAGCTTCGCGCAATTTTCATCAGTAAAACACAGTATCCGCATCCCAACACATCAGATGTTGGCCGAATTTTTAAATTCCTGTAATTTTTAAAAAATCCATAAAAAGTAGCATGATGTTAATGGATGCAGAAAGAAAAAAAGAGAAATCGAAAGAAAGACACAGAGAGAAATAGAAATATAAAATGAATTAAATCAAAGTTTGAGAATATGGTGTACGTATAAAAAGACCAAACCTCTTAGCTCAAATCAAAAAATAAATTAAAAATGAAAACGTAAAAAGGTGAATGAAATATGGTTCTCCGAGGAGGAGAGGAATGAGCAAATACATGCATTATTATTTTAATAAACAAAAGAGTTAATAGTGACAGAATCGTTGCAAGTTTATTTGTAGCTCTGAATGTAATCATATGATACAAGACAAAAATCATTAAATTAAATGTTGCTGGCCGTTTTTATATTTCAACGTCGACTTTTATTAAAAAAACAAAACAAAAAAAAAAAAAACAACATTTTGTTCAATTGTGTTTTGCCTCCATAATTATCCGGAAGCTTTTCTGTCAACCAGTATTCGAACATCTCAATATTGCGCTTTATTTCCAGGTATTCGAATATTTATTTAAAATAAATTAAACGAAATTTCGTATTATACCAATATTAAAGCAAACGCCCGAGGCATTTAAACAAGACATTTAACAATGATATAAAACTAAATATTTGTTTTTTTATTCGACAATATAATTAAAACATTTAAAAATGCGATTGATTTTACCAATATTATAATAGTATTGTTTTCATTGACTTTTGACTTTGTTGCCCACATTCCACAGAAAATGTATTTTGACGAGATTATGTTTCTGAATTTGTGAGAAATTTACAAGCTGTATAAACCCGGGGGAAAAAAGCATCTTGAATAAATTGAATCTCCGAGAAATGCTGCATCTGTGCAGTTAATTCAAATATTATAGTTGTATTAAATTGAAAGGCAAATGTGACACGTGGATACATCAGATCCTGATTGGAATTTTCTCTAATTGTGTGTTGAATATTTTCAGTTACCCATTTGTGTTTGTGAATCTAAAATACTAACATACTAGTACTCTGTCATTCAGGAAAATAGAAGTATTAAAATGTAATATTTAATATAATCAATTACTGCATGTTATTAGTGATGCGTTTTTTTATTCTAAATCATAAACCACGTGGAGATTGAAAATTGAATTATTCACCTTATCGTAGACGATATTTATTTATAGATAAATATCGTAAACATAGTATGAACGGAATCTAACCGTAAACTTCACAGACAACAAGGTCACTGCGACTTCCTTTTTCCCTTCGAAATCTAAGCGTGGAAAAGAGAAAGAAAACCAACCACACACACACACCCTATCACCTGGACTGAATAAACGCTGCAGAAGGAAACACGTCCGTGACACATTACCAGCAAGTATAAAGGACAACATGAAAATCCACGTTCAATGAGGGAGGACCAGGGCCAGGACCAGGACCAGGACCAGGACCAGGACCAGGACCAGGACCAGGACCAGGACCAGGACCAGAGTAGACTCACCTCGAGCTGAAACACACTCCTCCTGAAATCTCGGTTGGCAACATTAAAAATACGTAGCGGAAAGTTTGGACTAGCGAATGGAGAGACGCGTTCACGGATGGTTCACCTGTCTGGAGCTCACAGTCCGACTCTCGTGTTGCCTACGACCAACATCCAAAAAGCATGACGCTGACCCACACTGCTGTCTATTGTTTCTGCTCTTGTCTTCGGCAGCGGTGTGTGCGCGCTCTCATCCTGTCTTGTGCGTAAAAAGCGCAGAGGGAGGAGATGGACAGACGGAGGGAGGGTGAAGGTGCGGTGATGATAGGGGAAGATGAGCGATGATGCAGACTATTGATACCTCAGATGGAAGGAGGTCTCTTTTATATTGGTGTTCAAGGTTAGAACGAGGCGTCTGGGTCGGTTTTTTTTTAATAAACACTCAATGTTTTCACTGTTATTTACGAGCGAGGTTACAAGATGATGCTACACCACTTATCTGCTCGATCTAAAATATATAGAGATAAAAAAAATGATTCCAAAGTGATAGTGACACTTAAGAATCAAGCATGTCATTTACACATTTTACACTAACGTTCTCAGAATACGCAGTAAGTTTAACAGCAGAGATCGTGTGTGCTCGGGTTTAAGTTTAAGACATAAAATACTGATTTATTTCCTCTGAGCGGCTTTTACACATGACATTGATAGAACAGTGCCCTCTTGTGTCAAAATAGAAAACGTGCATGTGACTAAATCAGGTCTTTACGGAGCCCTGCACAAAAAGGTGTAGCCTAAATGGAGAACAAACACATCCATCACAAATTAATGAATTAGTTATGTTTTTTATGATATTTACTGCTGGACAGAAATTTGAACAACTAGTGCGACTTTACACAACTTTTCCACCTTCCGTCTGTAACTGGTTACACTGAAATGCAGTAGAAGTATTAAAACTAAATAAATACATGAAGATGATTAAGGAAAGAAAAATGTTTTGGCAGCATACCTGACATTTTCAATTGGGTTATTATTATTATTATTATTATGGCAAAGGCTGGGAGAGATTAAACACTGACAGCTGCTTGTATGTTGTTGTTCGTTGGAGTCCACAGACCTCCAGAATGACAGACTGATATCAGACAAAGAGCTGCTCTTCCTTCCCTGAGTGTCTACGTCTCAGTTTTAGACCAGACAGGATCTTCTGGGCGGGTGAGGTCAGGTTTGTCTTTGGTGAGTGACAGTGTCCAGCACTCTGTCTGTTATTGGACATGTTTGTGTTCAGATGAGCCCGATCCCCTGCTGTATCCTTCTGAGAAGACATTGTTGTTGTACCAGACGATTTCCCAGTCGACTCCAATCCCAACATAAACTGTGAAACCTCACAAGGATTTGATGGAACATCCAGTTTATTCTGACTTGGGATCCCAGAATCTGGAGAAGAGCTGCGGCTGCTCTCAGCACTCCCTGGAGTTCCTGTCACTGCAGCTGCTGGCTGTTCTGTTGCACATCCTGGATTTGAGATTTGGGTTCCAGGGGTAGGGTGCCAGTGATACCTAACAGGCTTTCTGTTGAAACAGTGACGTGGCTGTGTCATCAAATCACAGTCCAGTTCATCCCGAAGACTTCTTGTTTCCCGTCTTACAGCCAAGACTGCAGATGAGGGAGAAATATGAAGTATTTGTTTTTGCATCATATGGTAAATAACAACATATACAACACATCACAGTGTGATTAAATTTGTGTTTTAATAATAGTGAAATTCATTGTGATCTACTTTCCTCGTACATTTAATTTTATGTTACCATACAAGGCCATTTAAATAGATGTTAAAACTGATTTTTGATTTAATATATCAAGTTTATTAAAACTTTGGAGGAAAAAATAGGTTTGAAACTGTGTGCTCTCGAAAAACGACAGCAAAGAAAGAAACAAAAACTGTGACAACAAAAAAGGCCTTATTTGGCCAAATTGTTGGCAACACAGCAGCGTACAGTAGAAAACAACATACCCCAGTGGAAATAGCACATTATGTAAACTAGAGTTAAAACTTATTAAAGTCAGTTGCAGCATAGTTTACATTTTGATGCAAGCGAATGGCCTCAGCACAAAATGGAAGGAAGTTTTAATGTTAAAAATAGCAAGAGGTGGAAATAAGTGAGAAGTAAGCAGAAGAGGAACTGCAACAGATCACTGAGGCAGTCTGCAGCTACAGTTTCTGGAACCCAGAATGTTACTACACCGAAAACAAATTAATGGAAATTAAAATGAAGGCAACTGCCGTTTAAAAAGATTTACTATACCCCTTAAAGCCCAGCATTAAAATTATTTTTTTCACAGAAATCTCTGGATTATATATATTTTTTTTCATGTTATTCATCTGTTCTGGTTAGTATCTGATCTATCCTACCTGCTCTCTCACTGGGTTCAGGGCTGAGTTGGTCCACTGCCTCACTGGATGACGACTTGTCAGAAATATAACCTTCGCTTGACTCTCTCTTGAATGTTTGACTCTGTTGGAATGACACACATTCACTGGTAGGTTCTTTACAGGCCACATCTCAACCTCAAATTGTGCAACATTTGGTATTTCTTATGGTAGAAGAAAGCGGTTGTGGGTTAGTGTGGCCATTTTGTGTGTTGCCATATAACTGTTTTGCGTTTTGGGTTTTTTGGGGAGGGGGGGTTTGCCAATTTTTAGAGCAATTTATAGTTTTGTCAAATCTATTTTTTAACAGAAGGAAATTCATTATGTTGGTGCCTTTGAGCTACAACAGATAAAATTATTTAAATTATCTGAGGTTCATAATTCTCAAAGTACTTAAACCTCTAGTGACAAGTATAGAAACATCAACTTGTACTATGAGCCACATGCAACCCAGACACAACCACAAACAGCCCAGACTGTGGACATTTAAGAAATAGCAATTGATCGGAAATTCCTTCAAATGACAGAAAAAGAGCACGTCACTCTCTGTTGCCTTGCAACACGCAACCCACAATGCATTGCTAGTGTTTCCACAAGAGCTGTGTTTGGCGGTTGTGGGCATCAGAGTACATGCAGGCAGAGCGGCAAAGAGAAAGCAGTAGCTGTGGAGTGTGTTAGTGAAGGCAGAGTAAAGCTGAGGTTATGGACAAAGACAGGTGCGCTGGCTAGGCAGGGTGAACGTGAAGAACGCTGATAATATCTGGACGTCCAAGTGTTTTATTTCAAAGTTACTCAGTGCCGAAGAAACCAACTTTAGCACAGTCCAAGTGCATGATGTACAGTACTGATATGAATACCCATGACTGCATTATGTTAGTAAAACACAGAAGTATTCACACACTGGCACGTGCCCCGGCACTAAGAAAGTGACAAATTCTTTTAGCAGCTGCTGCTCTAAAGTAGGTCTGACTGTTGGTGCCTATAATTTCTATAGTACTTACTTCTAGTGACCGCGGGCGCTCTTTGAAGGCGTGTTCACGTTCTGGACTTTGGTGACAAGCGTTGCTTTCCAGTGGACAGGAAGCCCTTGGAGGGGTGTCTGGGAGGGGTGCAGTGGGGACCGGGGGAGGGGGTGTACTGGGTCTCTCCTGAAGGCCGAAGACCGTGCCGTGGTGTGTGATGAGAAACTCAATGAGCTCAGCCTGGTAAGCTGTCTCCAGCAGGGCAATCATTGAAACGTCTGTAGACACAAGAGGGCGCAATAACGTGGGTCCGAACACTATGCCCAAATTGTTCGGGGACATTTTGTTGTCATGGTTCTCCGACACTCTGTGACGACAAGAAAATGACACAAACCATTCAGACAAAGCATTTAGACACGTTAGTGCTCAGGTGAACGGTTTGTAACACAGTTGTTCGCTCACTTCTGTAAATGGAACATCAAATGCTGCAGCGTGCTGTAGCAATAAGAGGGAAGCTTTTGTAGTAGTTGTTGAAGGTTGCTGATAATGTTCATTATCACATTAGTGTCAGATGTCTGCTCCCCTTCTCTCAGGTGCTGGATGGTCTTTCCTAAAGCTATGAAGTCATTGTATAGGTCAAAGGTCAGCAACGGCTCCGGAAGCTGAAAAAGATACATTAATTGATTACTATTCTTTTTTCTTTTTTTTTTTTCAGGGATTTCATGGAAGTTCGAGTAGTTTATGATTTTGTACCTCTTTAAAGAAATGCTTCAGGATTGATGTGATGTCATGGGGTGAAAGGTCAGAAAGGTCTACCTGCTCCTTTTGAATCTCAAAGGCCTGACAGAGTTTTTGGATGCGAGGCTTGGACCCACTTACACGATAGACCCCCTATAATGATAATAAAATCAGGGGGAAACAAAAGTTTTTTAGACCAAGCTCAACATATTTTTAGAACCTTATATTAAGAACAGCATAAACCATACCTGGACTGACAGGGCGCGACTTTCAATCTCAGATGTGCAGCGCTGCACCACAAAGGGCACATGGTCGGAGCTGTCATTTATTAACAAGGACATGTCGACTCCAAACACGGTGCCCTTCTTGTGCTCACACTCCAACTGAGACACCTCCATGCACTTCCTGTGCAGAGCCATTCCACACTGGAGATACAGAAAAGGACAAATTCCTTTTTTTTTTTTAGAACTTTCTAAAATTCCCTATTAATAGGATAAATATGAGAGCTGAGAACATACAGGGTTCCATCTATACATCTACGTACGGTATGTTCTAAATAAACACATCGGGGCGTTCAGCCTCCTACCTCCTCGCATTCCACTCCACTGACGACAATGTAGACCTCACAGTGCTTGCATTTGACCATTTTGCTCTTCATCTTTCTGAGCCGATGTGTCAGTGCGGCTCTGGACAGAGTTTTGACTGGCTGACTGTCCGTGTAATCTGTAAGAGGATAAAGGACTGAATGCTGTAGTGTGAAATCCACAGTGAGAGACTCTAGGTGAACCGGCAGTAACGAACCTGACTCTGCCATATCCCGCTCATCCAGGTCATCAGACGACACTGTTAATGTGGATGCTGATTTAGGAAGCCTCCTGTTAACGTGAGCTGTGGAAGTGGGTGAATGTTGAGATGCAGGTGAGGAGAAGTAAAATGATAGACGTATAGAGTTTTTAAGAAATACCAGAAATGATGTCTGGGGTCTGATCTTACCAGGACTGGACAGAGACTCTAGGCTTCCACTAAAACTTTCAGAGTCACTGTAACCTGTTTTCCCTAAAAGAAAGCACACAGTGAACATAACCAAAGACTTATTTGTAGAATGACTAGGGCAATGAGGAGTCCTTACTGCCATCAGAGGTCAGAGGTGAAGAATCCTGCAGAGAGCTGAGGCCACTGCTGGTTCTGCGTTTGTTCCTAATAGCAAATGAGGATAAAAAAAAAAAACATATTAATAGTTAAGTCAAGGTGCATCACATAGATCAATACAAATGTAATCCAATGTGTTTCTGATTGAAATGCATTTAGCTCTACGCCACAACATGATTAAAACCTGACAGGATATAGTCACTACTATAGAATGATATTTATATTTTAATTTTATTTGAATTGCCCATAATCTACCAGCACTCAGTTTGTGATCTATTGGTAGATACCAGTCTACTTATTGGGAGATATAGTATATGGTATTGTAATTTATCTGGATATATTAGGTGTTTTGTATGTTTGTATCTGTCACATGTTTGTCTCCTAGCATATAAAATAACAATGTGGCAGACATCAGTGTTTGAAAAAACTATTATTAATTTGGTCAAGATACAAAATTTCCATTTTTCTAATTTAAATGAAATGTGACACAGAGAAGTGAAAGTTAAGAGGTTTTCGTACCCTTTGCCCTGAGGGATATACTCCTGGAAGTTAAAGACTTGGAAAGGTTGCTGGTGTCGGGGCTTGCTAAGAATGTACAGAAGGTATTGTTCTCCTGGCTCCAGAGCCCTGCAGGTGACCTCCAGGTTATAGAAGCCGAGGGGAACAGGCTCTGTCTGCTGCCGCTGGTAGTAAAACATGTTGACAGTAGCCTGGTGCAGGGAGGAAGTACGGCGGCGTTACCACTCAGTGTTGGCAAGTTTTCTTTTTTGCAGAGGTAGAGTTGGAGTTGGAGTCTCTTGACTATACAAAAATCTAACATTTGTAGTTTTTATTGAGAAGCTAGATAAAATGACAAATTTCACACCAACCTCTTTGAGCACAGTGTCTCCTTGACAGATGAGTTTGCGAGTGTGAGAAATAATTCTCTCTTTGACCTTCACCAACTCCTCCTGGTGGCTCTTGGCGTCAGTTATACACTGTCTGTACAAAAGCTCGGCCTCCACCACCTGGAGGAGATAAGATGTTTAATTAAAAGCTGCTCCACGGTCCCTTGAAAATACAAAGAGAACACATGTACAATGTAAAAACAACACTTCCTGCGGTGACATTTACTGTTGGCTCATCACCTTGGTCTGGGCTTCGTCTTTAGACTTCCTCCTCTTGTCCAGCGTTTTGATTCCCAGTGAATCATCTATAGCTTTAGCAGAGATGACTTTCAACTTCTCCAGCTCTTCACACCGCTGAAAGTACTGGTGTCGGGCCTTTCTAAAGGCTGTCACTGCTTCATTCTGAAAAAAAAAAATATATATTTTTTTTTTTTTGTCTGACGAAAGACTTGGTATGTTCGATATTTTCGTAAATGTCAAAAAAAGTTGGAGTGACTCACCATCCTCCTCTGTTCCCTCGACCACTGTTCTTTAAATTCTCTGCGCCACTTGTCGATCTCATTCTTCTTGGCAGCCAAGGCCTGAGGAGGAAGGAGGGCGTCAAAGTCAACACATCTGACTAAGCTGCCTTTTTATATATATTTGTTACTTTGCGAATGGTTTCTCATACTTGGTAGCAACGGTTCTGCAGCAGCTCGGTGGTCTTTCTCAAGGTCAAACTGTTCTTGATGTCCTGCTCCAGTGCCATGGTGTAGATGTGGTTCAAAGGCATCATTTCCTATAAAAGACAGAAACGTAGAGCAACGTTCACAGTACAATACAACTGACTCTGAGATATTTAGTAGCTTTGGTACACTGAACTAGGTCCTAGTATTTATCGTACCTGAGACACTACTGTGGCTTTTGCTCCTTCAGCTGTCTTCATCACATTCTTTGCAAATTCTTGTTCTGTAAAAAAAGATGGTTGAAGAAAATCAACTTTTTGAAATTGAATGAATTGTTACTTGCCTCTTTTTTACATGACACATTTCTTAGTCCACGCTGTGGTATGTTAGTGTAGAAATAGGAATTATTACTCCATACATAGTGTATTTGGTTAGTCACAAGGTAAAGTCATCTTTATTCTTTATAGCATTATTATGAATAGGAAATAATTTGGCTTGAATTTCTTTTTTTAAGTTTAAGACTTAAAAAAATGATCTTCGGACAGCGTGGCTTTGCTTCAGTATTACAGACAAAACCTGAGGCTTTTGTTCTGACCAGTTCATTTAAATAGTACACACACCAGTTTTGGCGATTAGGAACGGTGTAGCTTTACAGCATGAACTCCAGAGAGCCTTGTGGCTGAGCTCCACCCTCATTTCTCATGTGCTGCTATTGCTTAACCTGGCTCCACACCCGACTGAACTGCAGACCCCTGCGCTGTCTTTGAATTACTGACAAATGACCGGAACATTTGGCATCCCAGTGTGGACACTGGTCACCCGTGCAGTCATATACCTGGATAATGACAACCTTTGCACTCCAAAGATGCACCATCACCATCACCTCCATTATCCTCTTCCAGACAGCTAATCTGCGTGCTAATCCGCTCTCTGTGAGTCTGTGTGGCATAAAGCTCACTGCAGTGTCTCCCCCACCTACAGTCTTTTCTCTTATTCTCTGCAGTAATACACGTAGGCCATGTTACGGCAGGTTACACGCTGGTCCGTGACCATATTAATTAACAAACAGTTTAACACTTTGATGGTCTGAGTCAGGATGTTTTTCAGGCCAATAACCTCCTTCTATACATAGTGTATGATATTAAGTTTTATATTACATAGTCTAAATCAGGCGTAGGCAAACTTTTTGACTCGTGGGCCACAATTGGTCCTAAAATTGAACAGGGGGGGCCGGGTCAGGAGCAGATAGATGGAGCGTTCGTGTGAACTAAGATAAATGACATGTAAGAGTCATGCATAACGGCTAAAATGCTTTTATAAAATCAAATTATTTTCAATACCATCTATTGGGGAAATTTGAGTATTGCAAGGAAAAGGCAAATATAATAATAATATAAATAAATATAATTTGGAAAAGTCTGGCGGGCCGGATAAAAAAGCTGAACGGGCCGCATCCGGCCCCCGGGCCTTAGTTTGCCCATGCCTGGTCTAAATAGTAGTAGTTTTGCATGTTTGTCTCATTGTTAGTCAAATGATGAGCAGCAACTAAAAATGTCACATTTTCCAAAGAGATACATTTGGTTGTGGTTCTCAGGGATCCACTGATATTTAAATGTTGTGTCTTCCCTGGGAGATAAGTTCTGTTCTGTTTGTAAGTGAAAAAAAAACCCTACTAAAACACTATCAAGTCAGTCGGCTCCACCTCCCACCTCAGCCGTACTAGGGAATTTCTTTGTTGATTAAAAACGTACCCAAGTTGATCCTCTTCTCCATCCAAGTGAGTAGATCTTTGGCATAGCGGCACCACATCTTGGCGTACTGCAGTGCTGTCTCCACTCCATTCTGACAGTGACACAGTGCCAGGTCTGCATCCTGGGCTGAGAGGGAGTACATGAGCATCACTGCAGGTCCTGCACACTTGTAACCCACTTCCCCACAGAACTCAAACAATCCCCCGGCCTTGAAGAAGCAAATCCTGTGTTTGTCAGTTCCACATTTCCGTGCGTTATCAAATAAGTTGAAAAAAAAGAAAGAAAGTGAGAGGTAGTGTGAACAGAACCCAAAAAAATACTTCAATACGACACGTCTTAGCTTCTCCTTAAAGTAAATTTTCCAGTTTTCCAGTCGGTCTCAGCTACAGGGTTGAATCTGATGAACGGAAAATAAACTTGATTCACTGCTGCTGGTTGACAAAACTATCATTTTTATCAGCCCTAAATCTCCCAGAAGACACAAACGTGTGTGTAACCTGAGAGAGTGGAGTTCCTTTAGAGTAGACAAAGCTTCAGCTTAACATAACTTCCCTCTTGCCCCCTGTTCTTCCCTCGGCCCGGCCACTCCCTCTCACACCTGTTCACTTACTGTCAGCCACAACACAGTGATCACACTGTGCTGGGAGATCAGCTGGAAACTGTGACCGCCATGTTACAGCTGACAACAGCAGACAGACAAACATTCACACGGTAACCACTCTCTGACTCACGTCCACAGGGCAGTAGACGAGTGACAACCGTGTGGTGTCACCCAAATGGACTCCACACTACTTTCTCTTTTTTCATTCTGTCCAACTATCCTTACAGTTTAACTACTAAACATTGCAGTAATTCTCTCCTGCGCTTTCTTTTCTTTTCTTTTCTTTTCTCCTGAAGCCAAACTTCCAAAGTTAGGAAAAGCAATAGGAACTTTCACTTCTGCAAATGTAACACAAAGAGCAGTTGAGAGTTTTCAGCCACGATGAAGGCTGCTTCGACAGAAACACAGCAATGGCGTCATCCACTTCCCTCTCAGGACATTATACTGCTTTGTTTACTTCTCACAGATACCACAGTGGCAACACACAAAGTAAAAAAAAAAAAATAGTATAACCTACAGCCTACATTTTAAAGTGATTAAAGGAAATCTCTTTGCTGTTTATGTATTTTTGGAACTTGGCCAAAATCAATAATTGGGATTTCTGTGTTGCCAAAAAAACCCACTAGCATTTCTATGCTCTGGATTAGCCTTAGTAGTAGTTAGTTAGTTTATTTCTTTATCCCTAGAATTCCAATGCTGTCACTGAAGCCTTCCTTTTTCTTTACCTCCGTCCTCCATCCCATTGTGTCTAAGGTAAAGTGGCAGCTGTCTCCTGCTTTAATCCCATGTCTTTATTCTAATCTTGTTACTGCAGAGCAATCACAGCTAGTGGCTGAGTTTAGGAAAACACAGACTGGACTCTAACAGGGCATTTCCTGCAGAGACATGATAATCATGATGATAGCTGTAGTAAAAATGACTTAAATTAAGTGACGCTGACGCACACACAAATATTTGTAGAATACCTGATAAGCATCCATCTGCGTCAGTGGCCTGTGGACAGATCAGGTCTTCACTCTGTCAGAGAAATAAACACAATAACAAACACATTAATGACTAAAAACCAAACACGGCCCTGTAGCGATGCTACTGTTCTGAATGTTACTCACAGACTCATCGTGTTGGTCTGTAGGTTCTGAGCCAGTGATTGATTCTGAGAGCGACAGTGAGTCAGTGTCAGCCAGCAGATCCTCCTCTGCACTGAACACAGAAACAACATCAAGTCACACGAGCAGACAACCTTTATGATCTGCATCTTACTTTCAGCTACGTTTTCTAGTGCAGAATCGACTACCGATTCAGTACATTAACACTTCTGCCTGTGTGTATCAGGACTAAAGAATGAAGAACCTGTTCTCTGGAAAGACTGAGATTATCATGTTCTGAATGTGGCCTCTGGGTTGATATGAGTAGGAATAATATTACTTAAAATGTGTCCTTTACTTACGAGGGGATTAAGGACAGATCAAGACTGTCAAATTCTCTGAAGATCTCACTGTATCGCTTCATTTCAGATTTAGGCCTCTTCACATCTGAAATGGGAAAAATGGCATTATCAGAGAAACACCATGTGTTAATTCAGACGTATGATCTTTAACAAGGTCAACATGTAACCTGTAACATTGTAGCAGTTGGTATTATTTTAAGGACACTACAAAAGATACATTTATTTGTGATTATGGCTAATAAGTGTTTACCCAAATTAGCTTTACTCTCAAGGTAGCACGTAGTAGCTTAATGCAATGTAACGCAACACTGAACATGGCTTTGAAGGTCATCCACATTCAACAGTGGTTCAATTCTTGACGTTTGCTGTAGTTTTTTTCAGTCCATTAATGTGTTTACAACGCCATCACTACAGGTGGTGACAGTCCGTGTTATTGAATTGACAAAGTCGATGCCTAAACTCTGTATC